CTAAAAAGCTTCTGATGTGAGGATTGTGGGTAATATCTCCCGGTTCCAGATGGACGGGTTCTGCTTTGATGGATGGACCTGCTCCACCTCCAAAGAACTCAGGAAGATAAGTAATACACACTTTAAAGTCAAACGCTGTTCTTTAGGCTTATTTTTTAGGGTCCACCTGGATTGAATGCACACTAAAGTAAAACTTAACTTCCAGACGGAGCTCAGCAGTCCCTCCAATGAGGAGGAATTATTCCTTAAATCATGGAGTCTCCTGGAGAGCATAATTAGGTCAGAAAGTCAAAGAAAAGGTTTGATTCTTGTTCGCACTTTTTCTTAAACTCAGTGCAAACATTTAAGAGTCAAACAAAGATATGAAGCCAAAAGTTTGAACTGTTTAACACCTCAACCCCCCTAACTCTAACATTCCCCTCATTCTGCACAGTTTTATTAATTTATAATGTTCTTATTTATGATGTATTTATGATTTTGTATGTTTTCTTATGTTTCAATGTTGTTTTAATGACGATCGTCTTTGTAAAGTGTCCTTGAGTGGCATGAAAGGCGCTATAATTTATTATTATTATTATTATTATTAAAAGAAAAACAGAGTCTGTGGACACAGCCAGAGACTTTAACACAAAAGTATAGTTCTATAGTTCTATAAGGAATAAGACAATCAGTAATTTACATAGATCATGTGACTTTAGGCTTATTTTTTAGGCTCCACCTGGATTGAATGCACACAAAAGTAAAACTTAACTTCCAGACGGAGCTCAGCAGTCCACTCCAATGAGGAGAAATTATTCCTTAAATCCTGGAGTGTCCTGGAAAGCATAATTAGGTCAGAAAGTCAAAGAAAAGGTTTAATTCTTGTTCGCACTTTTTCTTAAACTTAGTGCAAACATTTAAGAGTCAAACAAAGATATGAAGCCAAAAGTTTGAACTGTTTAACACCTGTTAAAACCTTTTAAAATGTCTCACCCACCTCACCACCCATAACTCTAACATTCCCCTCATTCTGCACAGTTTTATCAATTTATGATGTTCTTATTTATGATGTATTTATGATTTTGTGTTTTCTTATGTTTCAATGTTGTTTTAATGACGATCGTCTTTGTAAAGTGTCCTTAAGTGGCATGAAAGGCGCTATCATTTATTATAATTATTACTATTATTATTAAAAGAAAAAGAGAGTCTGTGGACACAGCCAGAGACTTTAACACAAAAGTATAGTTCTATAGTTTTAAAAGGAATAACACAATCAGTAATTTACCTCAGTGCAAGCATTTAAGTCAAACAGAGATATAAAGCTTTAAAAGTTTTAACTGTTAAAATTGACACTTACGTCTTGCACACATACAACAAGTGTTTTCTGATAGAGATGGAAAATATAATCGAAGAGGAAAATTACATTTCAAAACTAACTACACAAAGCTTTAGATGGAAAATGGAACCTCCACTTTTGGCTTTGCTTATGGAAATAAGAAGAACAGGCGTTTTCACATTGAACATAGTCAGTGTGAGTTTGTGGTGCGGTTTATTTTTCTGTTTTTGTGTTGTAAAACAAGGCTCCCTGTGCCTGACCTCAGTCTAAATGTCACGGTGGGGATCCATAGGGACCAATTTAAGGAAAACAAAGGCAGTTCTCACTGTTAGATTCCAGTAACTTCATTGGTTAATGATGTTACAAATGATGATTATTAACCAGGCCGTTTAGTAAAACGACCGGTGAGCTACAAAGCTAGTTTGATCTAAATCTGACAATTGAATTTAGAGCCGATAAGCTCTCAGACCACCTGATTATTGGAGCTTTTTCACAGCAGACGTTTGACTCTTGTTCTTTAATGGTTCCAGTAAGAGCAGAACAAAAATAGCTGGAAATATCTGGGCTAAATGGAACGGTTGTTTTTGCTGTTATCAGCTACACCTGTGCCTCCAGAACTATGAAAGCTGGACGTGTTTTCTGTGAAAGGAGCCATTCATCCTCAGGGTTTAACATTTAATCCACCTTTAGAGTGATACCATCACAGTGTGCTGTTATTAACCCTCTAAAGCCCCATCCAAGAATAGAACAAAACAGAAAATGACTTTTTTTTGGTTTGAATTCCTTATTTGGCCCTTTAACAAAATATGTAAAAAGTAAAAACAGAAATACATTTTCAATATTAATAATTTATTACTATGCGATAAGTCCAGATTATTTTTTGTGTAGTCTTCTGCCCCCTGTTATCAGGTGTATCTGATTGTGTTCAATAGGATTTTCAGCAAAGTTTTTACCATTAAATTATGCAAAAGGTGTCAGACGCAAAACATTTCAGAAACAGTATCAGATATGAAACATTTGGCATTACAGGGTTAATTAATCACATATACGTCTGCCATAGAGCACTAAAGAGGAAATATTCAAACTTATATTCACACTAAGATGCCTCTGAAATATCACCTGTTTGGGAATACAGTGAACCCTCGTTTTTCTTTGGGGTTACGATCCAAAAAGAACCCGCGATAGGCGAAATCCCTGAAGTAAAAACCTTTATTTTTTTACAGTTTTTATACAACGAAATACTCCTGATGGCCCGGTATCTGCATCCTCCTTTCCCCTGTCGCTGTCAGCAAAAGTTTGATACAGAGTTCTAGCTTTGGTGCAGATAACGTTCGTATCCAGCGTGATGTTTTTGTTCTGTAGTCATTAATCCACAAAGCTAATGCAGACTCCATCCTCACCACGGTCTCGTTGCGGACAGAAAGAAGAAAGAACAAGAAAGTTGCAACCCTTTTTTCTCCTTCTTTTTGGAACGAACGGAAGATTCATTAATCCCGTAATGGCGACCTAAAGCCACTAGCTTCTAGCTTCCTTTAGCATGTCCAGAGGTTTGATAGTTAGCGA